ACCATTTTTCCACTTTATGAAAGAGCCTCTTTTCCCCTCAAGTTAAATCTGAACTGCTTTCAATTGTTTTTGCCAAAGGAGGTGGAAATTGGTTCCAGCAGAGATGTTTCCTGTGAATCTAAAGGCTTCGAGCACTGTTGTATTTTACTCTATTAGTCCCAGCGTATCATCCAGGAACGAGAGCACCTCCGTCAAAGGCACTGCAGTTAAACTTTGCTTCCCTCATGATCTTGACTTTCAGAAATTCCCAGTCCCTCCCCTAAGTGCACACGCTGTATTTGGACCTCATTCTGCTTTGAAAAAGCAAAACCAGAAAAAAAACCCAAAAAACAAAAAAACAAAAACCCAACAACTCTCCTTTTAAAACACTAAAATTATTAAATTACTGGAAAAGTTTGCAAGTGTTCGGTAATTTTGCTTCCCGTCCTATACTCCTCTCTCTCTGGTCCAATCTAATTAGAGTTTGCCTGAGGGTTAGATAACAGGAAGTACTGCACGGCAGATCGCAACTCCCCTTTTCCTTTTAATGTGAACCATCTGAAATTAGCTCAGTGCACGAGTTTCAACATCAAACACTTGTGAGCCAAGTGAACACATCTGTTGGTGTGTTCCAGATGCAAAGTCGATCTGGATGGCTGCGTCTGATGTTTGAACCTGATGGAGCCCGTGGTCAGTTCCCCAAGATGTGCTCAGCCCGTCCTGCTGGATTCCACCCTGACCCTACAGAAGAAACTCAGATTTCTAATTCACTGTAACCGCTGCCACCTGGCCAGTACGCCGCCTGCCCTGCAACCCAAAGGAAGCATTTTTGGCCAATTGAGTGTAATTGTGTTGAGTGGCACCCTTTTATGTCGTGGGGAGATTATCTCATATCATCTGGTACCTATTTTTTCCCGCCAGGGGAATGACGCTGGAGTGCTGATCTATCACCTCTGTGTGAGGGAGCTTAGATGGCCTCGCTGATTCCTCCCGGGGTGGGCAGGGCCAGGGACGTGTGGGCCCGGCGAGGGACAGGAGGCTCGGGAGATGCTGGCGGTAACCACGCCCGGAGAGTCCGCAGAGCCCACGCCCAAGCGTGCTCCTGTCAGAGGGCGCGGGTCCCGAGCCAGCGGGGGGCTCCTTGGGCCCGGGAGCCATCACAGGTGCTGCCCCGTGTCTGGGCACTGGCCGTCCTGAGAGCTACAGAGGGAGCGTATCCTTTCCTCACACAATCCTGGTGTAGTAGCGGTGGGAGCAAGTCAAGACGGAGGGTGGTGTGAAAAGAGCAACGCTTTATTTCCTTGGTTGAATTTCTCCTACTTGTGGAACTACGGTCTCTCAGTCATATGACGCTGTTCTCTGTGGGTTGTGGAAGATTATGGAATGAGGGTTCTCCTCTGTGTCCATTCATTGACTCTGTCACAAACGTGTACCGAGTGACCTCCCTTGCCGGCCTGGGGAACGGCGGTGTGACCAGGTCACGGTCCCTCAGGGCGTCCGACGCTGGCCGGGAGACCGTAAAGATGGTTGTGACTGGCCCTTGGCGCTACGAGAGGGGGGGGCAGAGTGGCTGTGGGGACTCGGGGGGCAGGGCCAGAGGACATTTCCCGATGGCGTACCTTTGAGGCTGGGTCCTGAAGGGACAAGGGGGAAGGGAGCCAAGCAGGGAACGGAAGTGGTGCCCCGAGGAAGGGGCGGGAGGCCACGGTCCAGATCCTGACAGAATCCAGAGGGAAAGGATTCCGGTTGGAAGGGTCGGTGTAGTGACCGTAAGGCAGAGCCAGGCACGGTGAGATCCGGGCTGGGGCTGTGAGAGGAGGGCCTGTGGGTGGGGGAGGAGGAAGCAGCTCCTGAGAGGACTGACTCGACTAGCGGGGAGTTTGCCCCTGGGCCCGGTGACGGGACAGGTGGCGGGTGGGCTTGAGGGCCGGAGAGGAGGAGACCCTGAGGGGACGCATGCATACCCAGGTCCCGACAACGGCACGCACATGCCTTTCTCATGAAGAATCTGCATGATGTTACTGCTCAAAGTGAAGCGCAGCTTTTTAAGGACTTTTGTGGAGCTGTGTGGTAGGGCGGTCAGGCTGGCTGTGCGCCACCACCCTTTAGAGTGGCTGGGGGGCGAGGACGGGGTGGGGGGAGAAAGACGGTGTCGTCCGGACCAACGTCCCTCGGTAGGGTGAGGACGCCCGGGCCCCGGGAGGGGAGGGCTCGTCCGGGGACAGAGGGCTCGTCGAGCCCCGGGTGCTGTCGGTGCCAGACCACGTCCTCTTTCCTCTCTTCACCGTCGCCCAGCAGGGGGAACTTGCTCAGGGATCCGCCTGCTTACAGCTCCAGCTCTTTTCACCACTGGCAGGGCATTCAGCAACCGTACATTTTATTCTTGAAAACTATGTATGTACAAAATTGAATGTTTTTCACATCCTGAGAACAGATTCCAGGACTCCTCCACTTAAGCTCCTCCAGAAAGGAATTTTTTTTCCCTAAATATCTTTGCCTTGAATGATAGCAAGCATCTTTGATGTGTTTGGATGAGAAATAATGAACTAAAGACATAGTGTGCTAATTTCATACCTCAGGGACTATGAAAAAGGACACACTAGTTTATTCTCATATTTGTAAACTAAAACAGTAGATTTAAATTATGCTTCCTTAGGTAGTTCCTGTTTAAGTAAGAATGTCATATATATAGGAGAATGAGTGAGTGTGTGTGTGTGTGTGTGTGTGTGTAACATGTTAGTTTTCTACACACACAGTGTTCTCTTACCTGGTGTAGGGAGAGGGGAGACAGACACCCCCCCCCCCCCCCCGCCACCTCCATAGGGACAGTTACAGGAGAAGACACAGGATGAAACACGGAGGGTCAGGATATGGGACTGAGGAGGGGAGCGAGGCACCTGAGTGTCCGCTGTCATTGTAACGGAACCTCCGGGGAGTTGAGACTGAGCTCTTAGTGAACAGAGCTTTGTCTAGCTCCAGTACCATGTGCTCTCAAGAGCTATTCTTTCTGATCGTTTGGAAGCAATTTCAAAGCTTGCCTGCTCTTGTGATAAGTAAATAAAGTCTTTGGCTCAACCCAGAGAACAGCTAATCAGATTCTGGTGGGGATTTAGTTGTGAATATAATTGGAAATTAGTTGTTCTGGCTGGACCCGTAGCCTCGCCCTGCTTGGTGGAAGAATTCAAGACCCCCAAGAGAGTCCCACGTTGGAGGAATTCACTGCCCTTTTCCAAGGGCTGCTGTTAGGAATGCCGTTGAACCCGTGGGTTAAAGATACCTTGAACTTACTGTCTCACAGATGTGAGTCTCACCTTTCAGCAAGCCTAGGAGGAGAACGAATTCACATGAAATGTGAAGGTAGTGGAAAGAGCATACACGTTTTCTCCTACGCACGCCCGCTGCCTCACACTGTTCTTGGGATCTTTTCTTCTGTGCTTCTGCACAGTCCCCATCTTTTTTCTGCCCAGGCGCACATGAGTGATCTGATTCTCACAGGGGTCATTCCGGAAACCTCCCCCGTCAGCATGCAAGATCCTCCAGGGAGCCACAGACAGTCTGCACCAGTCTGCCCCCTTGGCTGTACCGTCACCCCAGGCTGGTCGTGATTCGACGTAACTTCCTAGGATGGTTCTTCTCTCTAACACCCCTTGAGAAGCTTGTGGATCTTGAACACCTGGTTCTGAGTGTGGTGTCTGACGACAGTGTCTCACCCTTGGATTAGCTTCTCTGTGCAGCTGCCCGGTAGAACTTTCTGTGATGACGGAATTACTCTCTACCTCGTGCTGCCCGGCGTGGCGCCGCAGCCACCATCGACTCTGAAAGTGTGGACGGATGGGAGAAACTGGGGGCCCGCCTGCTAAACAGCAGGACAGATCTTTAATAAATGGCATTGCTTTTTTTAAAACTGGTTGTGACTTTATTGTTTTATTTTTAGTTTTTTGTAGAAGTCAGAATTGGTTGACACACATGGGTGTAATTGTGCCTGTCTTCCCCTTCCTCGCCTCATTTTGATAGATGACTCCACGTTGATTAAAGTGTTGTCTGGAGGTCTCTTAACAAATGATTCTTCTCTTCCTTCCTTCCCTTTCCTTTCTTTTTAGATACAGAGACAGAGACATATTTATATCTGTGTGTCAGCTTTATTGAGATATGGTTCACAAACCATACAACTCAAACATTAAAGTGTACGATTTAATAGCTTTGAGTGTATTCACAGAGTTGTGGAACCATGATCACAATCAGTTTTAGAACATTTTCATCATCCCAAAAAGAAACCCCATACTCATTTGCAGCTACTCCCCAGTTCTCTCCATCCGCTCCCCGCCAGCCTCAGCCGGTTACCATTCCACTTCCTGTCTCTGTGGATGTGCCTACTGTGAACATTTTGTGTAAGTGGAATCATAAAGAGAAGTGGCTTCTCTCACGGAGCCGCGTGTTTTCCAGGCTCAGCCATGCTTAGCATCTGTCAGCGCTTCATTCTTTTTATTGCCAGCTGATACTTCACTGTATGGCTATGTCACGTTTCAGTCACTCCTCCGTTGATGGACATTTGGGGACTACCCACTTTTTTGCTATTATTAACAATACTGCCATGAACATTTACACACAAGTTTGTGTGTGAACATATATTTTCATTTCTCTTGGATATGTGTCTAAAGAGTGGAATTGTTAAATGATATGGTAATTCTACGCTTAACCTTTTGAGAAACTGCCAGATTGTTTTTTCAAAGTGGTTGCACCATTTTACATTCCTTTCAATAGTATACGAGAGTTCCAGGTTTTCCACATCCTTATCAATGCTTGTTATTATCTGTCTTTTTGATTATAGCCATGCTAGTGGGTGTGAATTGATACCTCATTGTGGTTTTGATGTACATTTCCCTAATGGCTAATCATGTGAGCATCTTTTCGTGTCCTTATTGGCCATTTGTCTGTCTTCTTTGAATAAGTCTGTTTAGATCCTTAGCCCGTTTTTTAATGAATTTGTCTTCCTTTCTGTTCTTGTCATTTGACCTGGGCAGGATGCGGATATGCTAACTGGTGATGAGCAAGTATGGAAGGAAGTTCAAGAATCCTTGAAAAAAATTGAAGAACTGAAGGCACATTGGAGTATCCTTTCCGCCCAGCTGTAGATTGAGTTGTGCTGTTGGGGTTGCTTCCTTACTGGCTGAAGCCTGGTGTTAACGAAGACAAGGCCAGGGTTTGATCTCCCCAGGGGGCTTCGTTCTGTTTCATGGTCCAGTAATAGTAGGTCAGTAAGTGGTAGTCTCAGATTTCTGGATTGCCTTCCTCCCATAGCCTGCATCTTTAGGAAAGAGTAGCTTAGAATACTTACATTTCAGTGTCCTTGACCCTCAGGTCTAGAAGCTTCATGTTAAATCAGCCATGACTACAGTGGCAAAGAGAGTTGCTGTAGAGTACATATTCTCAGCATAAACAGTAAGGACCGTGAGTGGGTGGGTCAGCGTTCCACGGAAAGTCAGATCACTCACGGTGGAGGTCACCTAGGAAAGCCTTACTGATGTCATACTGCACAGGAGGGACCCGAATCAGGGACAGGATTTATATGAGCAGAGACTGAGACAGGGCTCGCCTCCCATAGAGAAGTTTATGTGAGCAAAAATGTGACAGAGGGAGACCACAAGGTAAGAAGAGAACAAGGCCAATGGCAAAGACTGCAGAGGGTCATTGTGATGCCTGGGGTAAATGGTATCACAGGCACAAAGATTTACAAGCAGGGTTTCTGATCTACAGACAATGTTTTTTTAAGGAATTGTAAAGGACAAGAGAGGTACTTAGACAAATAAGTAATTTCCGAAACCTATAGCCTGCTGAAGTTTTTGGGGGGTTGTTGGGGGAGGGGGGTGGCATGTGTGTAACTTCCCATGCGCAACTAGAATTGGTTATTAAAGGAGAGGAAGAAAGAAGCTGTGATCACCAGGGTACCGCATGGGGTCACTAAGATCTTGCAAGTGAGTCCATGGAATCACGGCTTTCCTTAGTAACATGTGTAGATTTCAGAAAGAGTTTTGAAAAGGAACAAAACAAAGCAAGGAATTTCTGCAAGGTGCTGGCATGACCAGGCGTCTCACTAAATGATTGACTAGCTACCCTGGAAAACCTGATGCTGACCCCTGGGTCCCTGTCGCTCTGAGTGCTTTGTCCCCTCCTCAGTCCTCTTCACCTCTAAGTCTGTGCTGGGGATGAAGACCTAGAGCACAGGCTCCTCAGAGTCCCAAAGGTGTGTGCGTGGGGAGGGGGCAGAGGTCAATGGTAGAATCAAGAGCTCAGAAGATCCCTGAAGGCTCGAAATGTTCGTGAGTCTAAAAAGATAAAAATTCAGCAAGAATGTATATAAAATCTTTGGGGGTAAAAAAGTTCAACTGTGTAAATATACACCAAGATTAGCAGCAGAGCAGAGGAAAGAATTTTAGGGTTTTAGTAAACAACAAATTCTAATAAAATTTAAGAGTATAATAATTGAACCCCTTGCCCCGTCCCCACCCCCTGCAAAAAAAAAAAAAAAATAAGGCCTCTGTGATCTTGGGCTACATTAATAGAAAATGAGAAAGGTAATGATATTAGTCTTATCATGTCTGGAATTTTTTATTCAGTTTGGGGTAAGACATTAAGAGGGATATAGAAAAAGTGAAATAAGTTTTGAGGAGTGGAGCCAGGATCCAAATGGAATCGGACACCCTGCCTGTTGACAGGACTAGGGGTGCTGGGGAAACGGCCAAATCTGGGAGCAGCAGAGCCGTTCTCAGGCTCAGCAGGCCGCGCACGGCTGAGGGATAAATGGACTTGTTCTGTGGGGTCCAGCAACAGAATTAGGGCCCGTGAGTGACCCAGCAACGTTTACTCTCAGCTGGACCAGGCTTTTTCGAGCACCGACTCTGTGCCAGGGGCCTTTCCAGTTAGTAGAGATGTAAATTAATTCATAATTTGGTAAAGTGCAGGCAGAGCTCATGACATTGCACGTATGCACTCAGCAATGCTTCGTTGATGTTGCACATTTTACCAACTTAAGGCAAGACCTTCCTCCAGCAGAGAGTACAGCCCCTTGGCTGCGGGGGTCTGGAGCCAAACCCTCGCTCTCCGAGGTCTGCCTGCATATATGGAGGGGCATCGAAGGCATGGTAGTCAAGTTGGGGAGGTTAGAGCAGGTTTCAGAGAGGAGGCAGCAGCTGAGCTATGACTGGGAGGAGGATTCGGAGTTCGCCGGCAGCACAGCAAGGAAGGCGAGCCATCAGCGAGCGTCAGCCTGTGCAGAGCGCGCACTGTGTGGTAGCGTGCTGTCGAGAAATTGCCAGTCGCTCAGTCTGAGAGGAGGGGGACGCGGCGAGGCCTTTGATGCCAGGCACAGGACTTCGTAGGTGAAGGGGACTGCGGGAAGGTTTTTAAGCAATAGAGCGAGATGATTCGGTGAGTCGAAGCCCCGTCACCTGACAGTCTTTGTCTCACGTTGCTAATTAATTCCCAAGCGAGTTCACCTTGGCCCCCTTTCTCCTTTCCCCTATTCCTCCGATGGTCACTTAAAAGTTTTCGGGGAAAAAAGGCATCTGTCCTGTCCACTGCTGGTCTGTTCTCTTCGGGCAGGCTCTCCCACCCTGCTCCGGCCCCGAGTGCACCTCCCCACTGGAGCAGAGTGATTCGAAGTAAACACCAAGCAAATGCCAGTGACTCAATTTTTGAGCAAACACACGTCGGCATTGGCTTGGGGGGAAAGCCTCTTAGTTAAAATTATTCCATTTTTTGGCTCACTGGGGTGTTTTGCAGGGAAGGCTCGCCTTGTTTGCCAGGAGATGGTTGCCAATGTTGCAAAGGGGAGTTGGCACGCAGCCCCTTCCAGCTTGCCGGGGGATAAAGCAGATGTATTCCTATCAAGGGCTGCAGAGTATTGCATCTGGCTTCTACTTCAAGGCTTGTCAACCTCAAACCTCTTTCAAATGAGCTGCAGCATATATAAATGAATAGGCAAATACGAACGGAGGTCCAACAACACGACGTTCAAATAGGATGCAGAGCCTTGCCACAGAAACGTCCAGCCGTGCATGAGAGGCGGTCATTTCCCCTGACAGCTCGTCAAACGTGTAATCCTGGAATGAGAAGCCGCAGAGGTTAGCCTGGCAATCTGTCACCAAATCAGCGCACCGCCTCAGAGACTGCTTCTTCCAGCCTCTGGGACATTCATTCAGCAAACTTTACATATACGTAGCAGATGAACACAAAAGAAAGTCACCAACGAGCTTTTCTTCAATAAGTGAGCCTCTTCTGAGACCAAAGTCAGCTCCTCAGAGACACGACTCACCCTAAAATCGTGGAGGGTGACGTACGAGAAACACGGCACAACCACCCTCGGCCGTGTGTGGTGGGGCCCGACAACCTCGCCAAGGAGGGCAGGCCTGCGGGGTCAGGTTCCATGTCTGCGGGAGGCCCCCACGGACAGGGAATGAGGTTTCCCGAGAGGGTAGCTGAGACATGAGCCCCCACTTCCGCAGGTGGCCTGATTGGTTTCTTGAAAGTGTTTGTGGATGTTTTGGAAAGCAGTGCCCTGAGAGCCTGGACGCTAGCGGTGGTAGATGTTGCTGGAGGAGGGGTGAAGGCGCCCCGGAGCACCCTCTGCTCAGGGCTGTGTGAGGACCCGGATGAAGAGGCTTTGACTGGGACTGGGGGAGCTGGGGGAGCCCTGGACAGTGAAGAGACTGGATTGTGTGGGTGTGCGGAGGGGTGTGGGTGGATGGATGGAGTTCGATCAAACTCAGTCCATGAACCGTTTTCCTTAAGCCTCGTCACGCTCAGAGGCTCAGTATAGGAAGGAGAAAGTCATTCATCTTGGCGTAGTGTGTTTTCTTTGCATCACACTAAATATTTTCCCACTGTGCCCCTGACTCCCAGAATTCTGCCTGCTTTGCAGTAGAACACATAAAGAATATTTTTAATTTTACACACAGTACTTTATTTTTTACATTAGGCATTTTTATTTCTTGCCTACTGCAAAGCGCCTAGAGGGCTTGCTTGGAACGTCAGATCGGGCAAATGGTGAGAAACTAGCTTAGATTTAACTGCAGCTTTACCTACAGTCAAAGGCTCTGCCATTTCTGTGACATCTGAAATCTGCAAACCTTTCACCCTGGAGGAATTCCAACGTGTGAACGCAGACGACTCTGCGGTGACCCAGGTTGAAGGCGGGGGAGGGGCAGGAGGAGGCCCGCCCCCTCCTAGCACCCTCCCTGGCCTCTGGCTCCTCTAACAGAGCGCGGAACAGAAGCTCAAAGTCCTTGAGTGCCTGCAGTCGTGTTTCAGCTCTGCTTGCGGGGTAATTCATCCTAGAGGGATCAAGGCCCACTCCGTGCACCGTGTCCTCAGTCCCCTGCCTGTCCCTGTGAGAGGACAAGTTACAGCAGTCTCCAAAAGGTCACCCCAAGGTTCATGAGAGTAAGTTCCAGTTTGTCAGAAGTCAGAGTTGCTCAGGAGTGGGTATTGGGTTTTCTCTCCATCCTTTTTAAAGCATCATTGCTCCCTGCTCATGGTGGAGTTTAAAGAGGAGACGTTTAGGAACAGGAAGAAGAAATAGTTCTTGGGAAACCCTAACTGCGCCAAGCACCAGCTTGGTTGGAAGATGATTTGTTGATGTAAACAGCATTTCCTTCTCAGGGATGCCACTCACGTGTTTTTGTCTCACAGGGGTGTTTTCACAAAAACACCCCTGTGAGACAAAATCACGCATCTTCCTTCCCTCCTGTGCCTGGGAGCTTGTCAGCCTTCTGGAGAACCTCCTTTTACTTTTGGTTTTTCTTGGTGAAGACCATGAATCCTTAACTAAGGTTAATAACAGAGTGGGACCAGGTTCTGGCCATGTGCCAGGCAATCATAAGCAGCAATGCCGAGCGGCTCCCAGATATCAACATCTACCAGCTGAAGGTGCTCGACTGCGCCATGGACGCCTGCATCCACCTGGGCCTGCTGGAGGAGGCACTCTTCTATGGCCTCCGGACCATGGAGCCGTACAGGTACGTCCTGGGGCGGGGTCGGGGGGTAGGGGCTCAGCGGAGGCCTTGGCTTTGGGCAAAGGATGGGCATCGTGAAGTCGTCTGGATTCCCACTTTCTGTTGCGTGTCCCGCCTGCTGCTCAGTGTGTCTGCAAAACCAGCCTTGTTCTGTTCACTCCTTTGTACGATCATTTATGCGTTCATTGATCACTGGTAAAGTTCCTTCCGTGTGCCTGGCACTGCGGGTCTGCAGAAGCCAGGAGACGCCGTGCCGATGTGGGGCCAGTGAGGACGCTGCGGTGTGCCGCTCACGGCGGCGGAAGCAAGCACAGTGGTCCACGGGCGCTGGAGAGCCCTGCACAGCTCAGGCGTGGCCCGGGGGTGGGGTCGTTCGCCTCAGCTGATCTAGGTGAGAGGAGGCAGCCCAGTCTCCTCAGTGGGTCCTCGTTCTGGCTGACAGTAGTGATGGTGTCTTCCATTCGTCAGGGCTTCATGATTTACAGGGTGTCCTCACTCGAATCCTGTCACCCGTGATCACCTTAGATCCGAGCAGGAGAGCAGGGCGACAGGCTGCTCCGTGAGGCATTGAGCCAGGTGAAGGGACTGTTGGTAATTCATTGTCTCCCGTCTGGCCGCATCTCCTTCAGATCAGTGGGTGTTTTGTCCCTGGATGTTCTGTGAACTCGGAGGAGCTTTGGAAGTGCAGGAGCCTGGTGCTGAGAGTGTGGGGCTGGTGGGCATGAGGCCTGGCTGTGCAGTGAGCCAAGGGCATGTTTGCAGGTCGAGACAGGCCGGTCCAAGGGAGAGGGCAGAGACATACGTACCGTCGCCTGAGGGTGGAATCACCACCCCAGCACAGAACAAGGCCATTGCTGCTCACAAGGTGCCCCCAAAGCATGTGGGATCTGGGGAGTTGGTGGGAGGCCCCCGGAGAGCAGGGGACCCCTTCCGGGTGGCTCGGAAGACCATACAAGCGTGATGGCAGCCCAGGGGCCTGTGCAGTGGGAGAGTCCAGGCCTCAGTCTGTGCAACGTGGGACGGCAGGGGGAGCGGGTCTCCGTGCAGGGGGGGAGGGAGGCAGAGCCCTGGCTCCTGCCTGTCCCCACCTGAGGAGGAGCCTAAGGAGGCGGCTGAGAAGGGGAGGTTACCAGGGTCAACAAGACAAGGACAGAAGCGTCTAGGACATCAGTCCAGGCAAAGGAGTCAGGAAGCCAGGCCTGGGCCAGGAGCGTGGGCCAGGCAGAGAGGAAGTGGAGGCTGGCAGAGACCCCAGCGGCGCGGTGGGTGGCAGGGGCTTGCAGCCAGGGCACCGGGGCGGCCCCGAGGGTGTTCTCAGGACTTCCGCAGGTGGCTTCTTCCAGGCTCCTTCCACTGCCTTGTGGCTGCGCAGCTTTGGAATCCAGACTGTGAGTCAGCTTTCATCAATCTTGTAAGAGAGCGCCTCGGGGCCAGGACTTGGACTTTCCCATGATCCTGCACTGCGTACGCAGTGTGATGAATCTTGTGGGTTTTCCGAAATATGAATTCAACACCAAGAGATAAGGCTTCATGCTCCAAGCCTTTGTGTTGCAATGAGAGGCAGGTGGGGGGCAGTTGGTGTTCCCTCTGTGAACTCCAGCGCTTGGTCTCAAGAACCAGACCCTGGGCTGCTGGGTGAGGGATGAGTTCCAGCCAGGAGATGTGGACTGAGGAAACGCCCCGTCTCCAGGCCTCCCAGCAGCCCGCAGCCCGCAGCCCGCCCCGCCTGCCCCGGCCTCCCCCGCCTGCCCCAGCCTGCCCCGGCCTCCCCTGCCGCTGACCCCCCGGCTTTATGCTGCTCCACCGCTTCCCAGGGTAGGCCACACACCTTTGAGAGTGCTGCTTCTGCACATACTCTTGAGTCCTCTTTTCCCCACACCTACCAAGGAAGCCGCCTTTGAAGAACTCACTTAGCCCTTAATTAAATGGATGTTTTACTGACTTAACCTTGAGTCAGACCCTGGCATTTGGCAGGTCACAGTCTCTCCGTACGTGAACCCTCTCTTCTGACACTGGCTGACAAGAGTCCAGGCCTCCCTTGTTCCTCGTCCCTGGAGCTCATTAGGAAGGTGCTCTGCGGTGTCCTCTATCTCAGGAAACCCACCCTGCATTGATTTGCTCCACATGAGCGACGTCTGAGTTGTTTGCTTGCAAAGCTGGGGTAGAGGACAGGGCTGTAACTAATCCAGAGCCAACAAAGTGAAGAGAAGGAAAAGGTGTCCTTTAGGCAAGGACATGGGTCAGCGGGGGCTAACTGGACTGGCCCCCGCCCTAGCAGGTCTGCAGTGTTGACTAGACCATTTACAACAGCCAGGTGGAGGTCAAGTGGCCAGGGAGGATTTTGTCACTCCTGACCTTGCTGACCTCAGAAGAGAAAGTGTCCAGGTTCCGTTTTTACCCAAATCACCATGTTGCCTTCAGCTCCCTTCTTGCTCCTCGGTCATTTAATACTTTTATTCAGTAGACGTTCTTTTCATGATGCAACACAGTATTAAGTTCTTCGTGTGTTGTAAAGCAAGTTGAAGTTAATTCACGTACAACAGAATTTATCATCTCTAGCTCATGGTGTTTCCTCTGAGTATCTGTATGTACGTCTGTGATTACATATGCAGAGTCTCTGTCCCTTAGCATTGTAAACATCAAGCAGAATGAAAGTGATTCCAAAGGGTTTTATACATTTTGTTTAAAATTTTGATTCAGTCGAATCTTAACCATAAGATAAATTGGGTCCCAAGAGTTAGTTAGCCAGTTGGTAGCCTGGAACTCGGGAAGTATTTTCCTGTTGGAGAAAGGTGTTCCGGACCAGGGGGAGGTTGCCTGACCACCTCGCATCTCACAGGCGTGTGCTTTACAGTTGGAAAACAAAAGACATAAACAGAACGGAACATAGGTTTAAAATTGATTTCAATTACAGCAAACACAAATTAAACTTGATTTTCTGTAGGCACCAGAGAGTGAAACGGCAATACAGAGGCTTTTGAAGGCTTTGAAGGGGGACTTTCATTGTATCTATATCTGTCTGTTAACTTGATTTTTGTTCCAAGAATAGTATATACTTCGAAGAAAGGACATTTTCGCAAAGAACACAAAGGTAAAAACCACCCACATCTTTCAAAGTTCTGTCTCGCTCCCCAGAGATATAACCGTGGTTAGGGTTCTTTCCCGAAAACTTCAGTGTGGGCGCCCACGCTTCCGCTCCTAGTGCGTTCCATAACCCCCGCCGCCGCTGTCCGTTTGCGCTCGTTTCCCCGCCTGTCCTCACGCCCCGCCCCCCAGACTCTCCTCTGCCCTCATTCTCAACGCTTCATGCCCAAAACGCCTCCCCTGGGCTCCTCCACTTTTCCCTCCTTTCCTTTTTGTCTCTCTTGCCCCGCCCTCTTCCTGTCTGTCCTGGGGAGAGACTCAGTGCCAGTCTTGATCTGTTCAGGATGCCTAGTGAAGTGGTGGGTAGGGGAGGGGGGACAGTGAGAAAGAGAAAAGGGAAGGAGGAAGACTTCTTAGTGGTCAGACAGGAAGAAATAGGACCCCTGTATGTCTCCTGTTCACCGCTTGCATTTTTCATCGTACAACGAGGCGTGGGCATCTGTGCAAATCCGCTCCTGAGTGTCTGCTTATTCTTTGTGACAGAGACACAGTATCTCATCTCATGAATATCCCCGCGTGTGTAGCTCAGCCCCTGTTGTTTCCATATATGTTCACAGTGTCAAACAACGTTGTGATTAACATCCACACACGTGTGTGTGTGTGTGTGTGTACCGATGTGACTGAATGTGTAGGATAAAACCCTATGATAAATTTCTAAGTGCTGACTTGCCTGCATCAGCAGTTATGTTCATTTTAAATGCAGATAACTGTCCCCAAAGTGTGTGCCCCATCCACCACAATGTCCCTCTTTTCTCAAGAGAAATGAGACTGGATGACCTGGTTTTTATTATATCTGATCTAAATTCATTCCGGAGTATGTGAGGGCCGCCTCCTTCTCCCCGACCAAAGCCCGCTCCTCCGGAGTGAGATCTGCTGGTACTGGTTTCGGGGTCTGCAGATCGTGTGTTTGTGGAGGGAGCGTGACATTCCCACGTGTCACCTGGGAAAGAGGCGGAAGAGCAAGAGTGACAGAGGAACTTAGCGCGTGTGGGTGGGAACATGGCGCCCTGATGGCGGCGCAGGAGGGAGTGCGAAATCCCCCTTGAGGAAGAGAAAGCTGCAAAGAGTGAGATTTCAACCCGGTTTTCTGTGCTTTGTTGTCAGAAAAAAAAAAATGGTGGGAAGAGGCGATGGGAAACGCAGCTGGTGGTTTGTGGACATGACCTGTTTACCAGTCAGGTGTTTGTAGCTCAGAGGTTGCCAGTAATTACATAGAAGCCACGTCAGTTTTCATTTTGCCAGTCATTTTTAACTTTTTCCCTCGGGAGCTCTGGCAGATAAGTTGATAAAACGTAAGGTTTCATCAGTGCAGTACTTTCCGCGACTGATTTCAAGCTGGCTTTCCTCCTGAAGACGCACAATTGCTCATTTGTGGGGTTTTGTCATCCATCAATATGACGGTCTGGGGCGGGAACCAACAGAGCTCGCAGGTGCACGTCCCAGTGGGGGGCCCGGGAGAGTGCCGGGCGCCGCACCCACCCACACTTACCTGGGCCTGCTTTCGCTGTCCCCCCGCCCCCCCGCCCTGTGTCACGCACGTGCTGCTCGGTTGCCCCTGTCTGCCTGCCTGTCAGGGGAGCCCCTTCCTGGAGGGGACGCCCCTTGGTGCACCCGGTGCAGCGCTTGCCGCAGCCGCACAGAGTCGGGCCCAGGGCAGGAGTCGGGGCCCTTCTCCCCGGCGGGGCCTGCGTACCGGCGCCTCGTCCTGTGTTCTATCGCTTCCCCCGCTGGCTTCCCCCATCTTCCCTGGTGTGCTTTGCGGAGTTGTTGCTCCAGTGAATGAACTGGTGTCTTAGCCTCTGTTTACTAAGTGGACAGTGATCCCTTAGCCACGTAATTACTTTTTTCATGCTGTAATT